AAGAGTAACTGCAGCAGTCTCTGCACAAACACCCCGTCCCTTTCTGGCCGTGAGGTGCGCTGCAGGCTGCCCTCTCCGAGGTGCGCTCTGAATTGCAGCCGACCCCAGGCGTTGGCACATGCCGTTAAGAAATTCCGAGTAGGAATTTGCACTTGTACTAAATGAAAGTTGGGGTTCCTGTTCAACAACTGCCTCTTCAGCTGCTTCCCACGGGACTGTGAGCTGCCGAGTTTTCCAGACAGTGTGGGTACTCTCTGGCTCTGTTGGTTGGAAAATCCACATAATTACAGTCCAACAAACACTTAAGCTGATTATTAATACAGAAAAGCTGAAGAGTGGGTTTTCTTTAGTGCTGACTGCCAGAAAGCCTTCTAGTCTGTTTATTCGCAGTGCAGTGCTAACTGTGTAGTAAATTCTTCTGCAGAACTTGGTCACTGATGAGGGAGACGCAGGGCAGAGTTTAGCAATAGAGCTCGCACGCGGACCGCGAGCGAGCCTGGGAACAGCGGTGCCTCACAGCAAGAAAAGAGCCTTGGGTTCTGGGTGTTTCTGTAGACAATTGCAGAAAAACCACACAGAACATCTAGGCCATGATGCTCGGTTAAATAAACTTTTTCAGTAGTTCCCTAACCTTACGATGGCCTCTCCCCGAGCTTCAGGCATCCAGTTGTGGCCAGTTGTAACTGAGTGTGTCCAAAAGGAGCTTTCAGATGTCGGGGCCAGCTGGAACAGTTAATCATCAGGGTTAAAATTTCATTTACAGTGGGTTCTGTGTGACTCATGTACCCAACCCTCTGCCTCTTATTTCCCTTTGCTTACAGAATAGTTACTTAGTCACAGGATACTTATGGAGATTATCAGGGTTCCTGAAAAACTGGAGCATGTTGGCAAGGAGCCCTTCCTCCCACACGGAAAATCCTGCTCATCCTCGGGATTCCTCTGCAGGGAAGTCCGCCTATCTGCAAGAACAGGCAGCAGAAGACAGGAGCAGAAAGCTGTTTTTCTGAACGTTTCCCTCCTCAGCTCTGTTGGGAAATGACTTTTTGCCAGCTGAAATGCCAGCAGCTTTGGAGTTTGCCATGATTCCCCATTTGGAAAAAAATAATCCAAGTTTGCCTTTTTGTGCTTCATAAAAATACTTCCCCTGAATTGTGTTGAAGTGCTCTACAATTTGCTGTCGCTTGATTCCTACAGAGACTTCTTTTTTTTTCAGTGGATCACGAATGGAAAGTGTTTCTCACGAGGCTCATGAAACCCTGTGCTTGTTTTTACTGTGAATCATGGGATTATTTTTTTTTTCTTCCCCTATTTGGCTGTTGCTGACCACTGGACAGGTCTCGAGAATAGTTCTTTTTTTAAACTGAGTTTATTAGGGGAAGCAGGCAAACAGGGCTAAGCTAATGTTCAGCTGGAGGCAGCAGGCACACCTCGAGCTCAGCAGAAGTAGTCACGTGGGGATAAACCAAATACGCTCAAGTAAATAAACAGAAGTAGCTGAGGGAGGAAGTCTGAGCAGAGCATCATGCGACTGAGGTCTGTTCTCACTCAAATGTGAACTTTGGTAATAAGGTTTATAGGAAGTGCTCTGGGCTCCTGGGTGCTCCTCAGAGACACAGCAGTTAGGGAGTTCATCCTATTTTTCTTGCCTTTTTATTGCCTGGGGGGTGAGATCAAAGTACCTGGACAGCTCTGCTCTGCTCCAGAAACATCAAACAAAAATGTGGGGTTTGTGCCAAAAGATACGTTAGGTTATAATACCACTTTTTGTCTTTAAAGTTGTTTTTTTTTTATAGTCAACAATTATACTTTTAATGGAGTTCTTGCTAATTGCTAACTTACGTCTGAGAGCTGCCTTTTTAATGAACAATGACTCTTCCCTCTCTCGCAGGATTGAGTTCCAGAACAAGTTCTACACTGGCACTGGATTCAAGTTTCTCCCTTTCTCCTTTGACACCATCCGGGAGGGGAGGTTTGACGACTAAAGGCCCCTCCGCGCCAGCAGTGTTAAACGTCGTGTGTTTATGGTTAGCCCTCTCCTGTGCGTCTGAGTTGCATGTAATCCTCCCATAGCGAAAATAACTTATTGCAGCACCCTCAAGTGTTACCGTGGTGTTTCAAAGCCAAGAGCTTTGACATTCTTGGGTAATGAGTGACACTGGATCAAAGAAACTTGTCGTTCCTTAAGTTTACCACTGAAGATACTAAGTGCATGAGTTTGGTGTGTAATAGAGTACTTCTCGTGTCGTGAACTCCCCGGCAGGTTTATCAGGGCTGAGGGGGCATGCGAGCACATGGAGAAAAGGCGTAACAACTTCAGCTTGCGCACAGCTTGCTGCTCAGGAAGAGATATTTTTTTTTTTTTTTTTTTTTACCAAAGTTTTACATGTGGATCCCCTGTGTCTCTGCCTCTGGTTAAACAAATTATGAGCAGTGGGCAGCTGACAGTCCAGGGCGTGCTTCGCCCGCCTCCAGGGCTTCCACACATGCCATGTTTTAATCTGGCAAAGCCAACATCTCGTCCCATGCAGGGGTTCAGCTCTTTGAGGGGCCTGAGGAGGCAATGTGAAGGGGTGGGACTCGGCCTCAGCTGGGCGTGCGGTGGCTCTGTTTGCTCTAGTGATGGGGAAGCACCTTGTCCTTGCACGAAAGGCTGTTCCTTTCCTCCATGGAGACAGATGCTCCTTCAACTGTGCACCCAGGCGCTCGTATCCCAGGCAAAGCCCCGAGTCCAGCAGCAAACCTCTTGTTTCCGGAGACAGCGGTGAGAACGGGGGGCGCTCGGCTGCCTGGGGCGAGCTGGAGGAGGGATGAGCTGCGGTGCAAACTGTCATACTGACCACTGGCAGTGGAACTTCTTGGGTTTCTTGTTTAAAGCCGAAGGCCTGAGACTGCAGAGTCCTCGAGGCACATCCAGATAATGCCGTGTAGAGGTGGCATCAGTGGATGCAGCTTTGCAAAGGTGGAGGTACCACTGACATGCATTGTCACGTGTGCGCGGGGCCGTAGGAGCCCTCTAAGGCAAACGGAGGCCAAGTCTTTCCGAAATAGCCCCATGGCAGTGGGATCGGTGGTGTTTCCCCACAGTAGCTGTTGCTTTTTCTCCTGTGCAAGATGTAAATAATTTCTTGCCCTCCTCAACCTGATGTAGCTGTAGGAGCAGCGGGGAGTGTGTGTGTGTTAGTGCTGTGTGTGACTGTCGTGTTTAATTGTCACCGTGGGTCTGAACTATTTGTGTATGAACAGATTAGAACAATAATGAGAATCATTGTAACCTGGAATTGAGGATGAAATTCCTCCCAGCGCAGGGCTGTTCACGTGAGAAAGGTGTGTGTGCTGCACGCCACACCGGGTGCGCGCGCGGAGCACGGGGATCCTTGTGCTGCGCCTGGGCAGCTCCTGGGCAATCGCTGCGGTTACGGGCGGAGGTGGCTCTGTGTTCACAGTGGTGGTCACAGAATGAAAGGCGAAATCAAAACCGGTTTGCAGGTGGAGCAGTGACACTGGTCCTGCTGCCCGGGTGAGATGTGTTGCTGACAGTCGCTGTATAAATTAAACTAACAGTACAACAAGCAGCGTGGCCTCTTTTCTCTTTTTTTCTCTGCAGGGAGCTCCCGGGCAGCGCCTCTGCCCTGCGCCACACTGGGCAGAGCCCCGAAATCTGCCCGGGGGGCAGCTGAGGCCTTCGGCTTTCCAGCTCTGGGTTCCCGTCCCCGCGGTGGCCGGGAGGACGATGGGGCGGGCAGAGCTGGGTTGTACAGTGGGACGGCGTGTCCGTGCCTCAGTGCTTATCGCGCTCCGGCTGACATCCTGAGCGGAGGCTGAGCCGGGGCCGGGGGTGTCCTGCAGCCTCCTGCCCGCCCGGATAAACCCGGTAGCGCAGCGAGACAAACAGTTACGGCTTGATCAAATCTGGGGGCTGTGGATGCCCTTTCACGGGGACTGGGGCAAACGCGCTCTGCCTGCTGGGGGCTGCTGCCCCTCTCCCGGCCCCCCAGCCCCAGGCTGTCCCCGCGGGGACCCGCTCCGCGCCCGGGAGGGACGGGGCCGTGTTTACTCAGGCCTTTCCTGCGGGGCCCGGAGCTGGAGCTGGAGCTGCCCGAGGAGTTTTTCCACATGTGCGGAAGGGAGGATTGTGTGGTGAGGCATTGCATCGCGGAGGGGGCGCACCGCT